GATTGCATTAAATCTGTATAATGCTTTAGGTAATAAGTTCATTTTAACTATGATTCTTCCAATCTAAGAACCGGAAAATCTTTCCATTTCTTTTTATCTTCTTCAATTTCTTTTAATAGGGTCTTGTAGTTTTCATCATATAGGTCCTTCATATATTTTGTTAAATTTATTCTTAGGTATTTTATTTTGTTGCAATTGCAAAAGGAATTATTTTTTCCACTTCTTTTTCTGACACTTCATTATTAGAGTATAGGAACGCTATGCATTTTTGAACATTGATTTTGTATCCAGAAACTTAACTGTATTTGCTTATTGTTTCTAGTAGTGTTCTTGTGGAGTCTTTGGGGTTTTTGATATAGAGAATCATGTCATCTGCAAATAGTGACAGTATGACTTCTTCGTTTCCTATTTGGATGCCTTTTATATTTTTCTCTTGTCTGCATTTGCTAGGACCTCCAATGTTATACTGAATAACAATGGTGATAGTGGACAGCCTTGTCTTCTTCCTAATCTTAGAGGGAAGGTTTTCAGTTTTTGTATAATGTTGACTGAGGGTTTGTTATATATGGCCTTTATTATGTTAAAGTACTTTCCTTCTATACCGATTTAGTTAAGTGTTTTGATCATAAATGGATGTTATATCTTGTTAAAGGCTTTTTCTGTATCTAGTGTTAAGATCATATGATTCTTATTTTTTAATTTGTTTATGTGGTGTATGACATTAATCGATTTGTGTATGTTGAACCATTCCTGTGCCCCCTGCCTTGGATGAAACCCACTTGATCATGGTGTATAATCTTTTTAATATGTTGCTGTATTCAGTTCTCTAGTACCTTATTTAGGACTTCTGCATCTGTGTTCATGAGAAATATCGGTCTATAGTTTTCTTTTTGAGTGTTATCTTTAGTATGTTTTGGTATCAGGGTAATATTGGCCTCATAAAATGAGTTGGGAAGTACTGCCTCCTCTTCGATTTTTTGGAAGAGTTTGAAAAGAATAGGTATTAAATCTTCTTTGAATGTTTGGTAGAATTCACTGGTGAAGCCATCTGGTCTTGGACTTTTACTTTTTGCTAGGTTTTTGATGACTGTTTCAAATTCCATACTGCTGATCGGTCTATTTAGATTTTCCAGTTCTTGATTCTGTCTAAGAAGATGTATCTTTCTAAGTATTGTCTATTTCACCTAGGTTATTAAATTTGGTATTATATATTTTTTCATAGTATTCTTGTATGTTCCTTTGTATTTCTGTGGTGTCTGTTGTAATTTCTCCTCTTTCATCCCTGAGTTTACGTGTGTCCTTTCTCTTTTATTTAGTGAGTCTTGACAGGGGTTTGTCAATTTAATCAAATTTCTCAAAGAACCAGCTCTTTATTGCATTTATTTTTTCTATTTTTTGTTTGTTTTCAACTTCATTTAATTCTGCTCTAATTTTGATTATTTCTTTCCTTCTGCTGATTTTAGGATTCATTTTATTCTTCCTTTTCTAGTTTTTAGAGATGAAGTGTTAAGTGGTTTACTTGGGCTCCATCTTTTTTTTTTGAGATAGGCCTGTAATAATATGAATTTTCCTCTTATTATCGCTTTTGCCATTTCCCCAAAGTTTTATCATATTGTACTATCATTATCATGTGTTTCTATGTATCTCTTGATCATTCTTTTTATTTCTCTAACCCAGTCATTCTTTAAGTAGCACGTTGTTTAATCTCCATGTATGTGTGGTTCTTCCTGCTCTAACTGTTGATCTCCGGCTTCAAAGCATTATGATCAAAGAATATGGTTGGTATGATTTTAACCCTCTTTTATTTGTTGAGGCTATCTCTGTGTCCCAGTATGTGGCCAATCCTTGAGAATGTTCCATGGGCACTAGAGAAGAATGTATAAGCAAGCAGTTGTTTTGGGATGAAAGGCTTTATAAATATCAATTATGTCCAGTTCTTCCAATGTGTCATTTAAGGATATTTCCTTATTGATTTTCTGTTTGGACAATCTGCCCATTTCCAACAGTGGGGTATTTAGGTCCCCTAGTATGATAGTTTTTTGGTCTGTTTCTCCCTTTAGTTCTGTTAGTAATTGCTTTATATATTTTAGGGATCCCTGATCGGGAGTATAGATATTAATAAGTGTTATGCCTTCTTGGTATATGATTCCCTTTATCATTATGAAGTTTCCCTTGGTATCTTTCTCTACCTTTTTTGAAGTCTATTTTTTCCAATATTAGTACTACTACTCCCACTTTTCTTTGAATGCTAATTGCTTGAAATATCATTTTTTACCCTTTCACTTTGAGTCTATATTTGTCTTTGAAACAGATTTGTCTCCTGGAGGCAGTATAGGGTTGGGTTTTGTTTTTTGATACAATCTGCAACTCTGTACCTTTTTATTGGTGAGTTCAGTCCATTTACATTTAGGGTGATTACTGAAATATGAGGTTTTCCTATAGCCATTTTATCTTTTGCTTTCTGGTAGATCAGTGTTTCCATTGCTTCCTTGCCCTTGTGTTTTTTTCTTTTTCTTTTT